ACATCAAAATTTATTTTACTTATAGAATTAATCAAAATAATTAGGTCACTTTTATAATTTTGCGCCTTCAGAAACATTATATTCTTTCCTAGCATTAAAATATATTCTTGATTTACAACATACTACTTATTTTAATGGCATTTTCTGCAGGCATATTCGATTGAGTGAAAATAATTAGCATTCAAATATGTCTATGAAATATTAAAAAATTGTTGTAAACCATTTAAAAGCCATAGTTAGGTAAATTACTAAGTAAAGTATTTGGCTTTATATTGCTTTAATTCTATCTCCATTACTTGAGGTTTATGCGTATTTGCCACAAAAGCTTCGTAAAAGTAAATCCACCATATAATTTTGATAATTTATCGGTAAACTATATAATATATCTTAAACATGACTTGAGGTCACGCTGGGTCGTACAAGCAATGTTAGTTGTATTTCATACAAATGAAAAATAAAATTTCATGTTGGTTTGTCTCTCCAAATATACACACTTTACACCCAATTTATTTTGTGAAAGAGTCAATCCAATGACACAAAAGTATCAAGTTATCTTCTAGAAGACACCTTTTTACTTTGAATGGATGTTGGTTTAAAAAGAGGAAAGGGCACAACGTCTAGTTGCAATTACAGGTTCAAATATTTCATTTAATAAATCTTAAATTAATATGGGCAAAATAATTCTTTATTATATTTTTATTGGTAGTAGGTAAATTTCGACTTATCGATAGTATAAAAACAATATTGCTTTGATTGTTTACCCTAGAACTTTGAAGCTACATACCAACCAGAAAATGAAACGAAATTTGCAGATATTTATTCTAATATCAGTGACCCTGATATTGGCTCAACTAACTTTCAAAGGGCTCAGTTTGATTCTACAATGCCTATAAAAGGTCCTCTTCTAAGCAATCACACTTTTAATGGCGCAGAGATATTTAACCGCTTCACAGAACGTTCATATGCCAGTAACTTCGGCGATAAAGTCGACAGTTTTGGTAATATCCGGAATTCGAGTGCTAGCGATGCGTCTCTTCAACAGTTTTACGTAGAAATTGCTGAGATAAAAACTTTTAGAGTAATATATAACTGGCTGGTCACATTTCTTTTGTTCTTCGTCTGTCCTTTTTGCATTCTAACTTTGGTCAGTGTCAAACTGATACAGGCTGTGCACAAATCAAGTTGCTTTATGCGTCAGCAATGTGCTCGCAACTTGGTTGAGATGCGTTGCATCAATCGTGAGGAGACACGTATAAGTGTTCTATTACTGTCTCTCATTGTGGCATTCTTCGCCTGCCAGAGTCCTTTCGTAATCTATTTGGTATGTTCTCATATCGACTGGGCTCCACCCATTGACCGGCTGTATCAAATAGAGGCCCTTGTGTCTTTAGCACTGGCTATCAAGAGTGACTGTACCTTTTTGCTGCACATTTGGATGAGCCAGAGATTCATAAAATCACTGCGTCGCATTCTCCATACAGTTTCTGGAGTAATCAACAGTAAAGAGGTTGGAACTCAAGGTCACAGTCAACCTAATCATTTGCTTAGGCTCAATTATTCTTGGCCTCGACGGCAACTAAGTAGTATTCCCATCTTGAATAATAAGAAAAGTAATTCTTCAAAAAAAAAATGTCATATGAAAGTTAACAGTAATGACGGAATGGAGCCCAGTTGCCGTCATCTAGATGAGATAGATAAAGGTCCAAATCAGCAAACCACAACTGAGATGCCTTATGCTGAAAGCAATTCTGGAGGGTGGAAACCATCCTCTACGGAGGAAATGTTTACTAACTTATTTCGGCCGGACTCAGATACGTCCTGTCAACAGATTTCAACAGGCCGAACCAGATCAGAATTGAATATGTCGCAGAAGACTCGTTCCTACCCACAAGAAATCTGGAATGAAAATTTTTCGGAGACACGGCGGGCACCAAATAGGTGGATGACTGATGATAATATGCTTCATGGAAAACATACAACCTCCATATTTGCACGACTTTTGAGTCAAACACGAAAAAGACGCCTCAGGCGAAGACTAAAACCCGGCCAACTTGGCTCAAATGGTGCGCCATGCCGACAGTCACGTCGGAACTTCTCAGTCTCTGCCAGCGAATCCACTACGACTGGTCAGTTTCTCTCAATCTTCATGGCAAATTCTGCGCCTGGATCGAGCCCCAATACTCCTTCCACGACCACTACAGCTAGCCAAGCTGGAGCCAACACTTGCAATTCTACGGTTGCTCTGAACAAATTTCATAGACAATCAAAGATCATACCTCAGTCGCAGACATCTCCACAGGCTGGGAACAATATCAACAGCCAACGTTGTTGCCATTTTGGCTGTGATGGCCAGCGACAGCCAGCATATCACCTGACGCCGCCCTATGCGGTCCGCATCACTCCACCATGCAGAATGTTTTATGCAAGCAGCCTTGATCAACAGATTTCGATGTTAAATAGACACTTCCCCTCACATCCAATTAAAATACACAAAGGTGTTTTTATCGGACAAAACATGGAACCTTTAACAACTGCAGCCCTCTATTGGGAGGGCGAATGCCATGACAATTTGTATCCTAAGACGGTATTACCAAATGCCATAAAGAAGCACCACTCCGCATCAGCCTTAATAAGGACTGGACGAGGTATGCGCCAAAAAAGTTTAACTTGCACATATCCCTTAAATTACTACCAATGCAGCCTGCAGCCTGACCAAAGTGGGAAATATAATCAAATCTTGAATAGCATATCACCTCAACTCTTGCTCAGATCAAATTTTCAACGACGTTGGCCCCGCCATCGACGTAAAATCCTTCAAAACCACCTTGGTTTTGTCGGTTCGTGCTGCCTATTGGTCACAGCATCTCATGACGTGAAATGTGATGAAGAGGAAGGATGCTTTTGCCGCATTAATCAGAGGAAGGTGAGAGAAATGCCCATATATTGGTCTGCCAATGATTCATACACTTGGAATAAAACAATAGACTTTGGGGTAGGTTATTCCTTGATAGTATTGAGAATCTAATTATTCTGAAATACTAAATTACTTTTTTAAATTATCCTATTTAGACCATGCAGAGGTATCACAGAATCGAGCAACACTACTAATTTTGTGATAGTAGGAAATATTTTGGCGAATGTTTAAGGGAAAAACTTCAGCGATATATAATTTGTCCTACATTATGCTTCGATTAAAAGAATCTATTTTTGTTATTTGAAGCAACCTAATATCAAGAATTTAGACATTCATACTTAATTTGATTAAATGCCTTGGAAGAGTTATATTATACAACTTTATTCTATTTTCCTCTTTTCATGCTGCCTTATATAGCAAAAAAGAATTGATAGTTTGGCTTGAAAATATGTCATAAACAACAGGAAGTATCAGACTTATTTATAAATAAAATGTGTAGATTTATTCATTTTCCTATAACGGAAATAGTATAAATATAAATCGTAGTTACTTTATAATTGATCTTGCAACTAGTATTAGGTTAAATAATAACTGAATAATTTAGAATGAGCTACAATTTGGATAAAATTCATTAATTCGCTAAACTTATATAAAATCAACATGGTGTTCATTATTTAATAATTACCATTATTTGTCTGTAACTTTTGATAAAAACAAGACAATTATGCATCTGCACGTTTCACTAACATTTAGGTATTAAGAAGTTAAACGACTTTCCTTCCAGATAAGATGCTATAGTTAGAATAAAGGTTTCGTATCCAAAGGATCTATTAATACTGTGCTAAATCATTTAGCTGATAATGCAGGAATCCTATTGGGAATAAGCAATTAAATGTCCTAAGGGCCTTCTTCCGAAAAAATTATGCTTGATAATGATGCTTCTCATTATTTTTGCCGTTGCTCTTAACGGTTATTGATAAGAAGAAATAAAAAAATATTATAATAGTTTTATAGTAGTAGTGGAATATACTAGGGCAATTTTTCTAGATTAAGCATAATTTCGAAATTAGTAAAATGCTCATGTTCGAAGGGTTATAATAAATCAATTTATGTATCAAGCTTGAACTATTTCACATTATTTCACATTATACAAAAGAATTAACAAGTAATTAATTAATTCTTCCCATTGAGAATTTATTGAAGCCAAGTCCAGGCAGATCTTATGCTACTATAAAAATTAGATACTTCATGCCTCTATATTTTTGCTGAATTTCAATCAAATTTCATGATATTAAAAGGCGTCTGGTTTATGCCGAGACTTAGCCTCTAGCCTAGCCTATAATTGACGAATTCTAAACGATAGATCCAATATACAAGCATTCCCTTATTAGTTGCCTTCAAGAATAAAGATGCTAGAAGGAGATATTCAGAGATTTGCATTATTAGAACATTATATCACTAGGGTGATTTTTTAATGGAAAGTATGAGGTCCAGGATCGTATGGCCTTTTTTATAGTTGTGGTTTCCTCTCATTGTCTAGAGGTTGTTTGACCTTATTTTCGTAACTTGTTAATATTGGCAGGAAGACATAGAGGAATACATCTGGTCTGAAGCCCATAATATACATGATAATTTCCAGAGTCTGGGAATGTACTAAGTTTATGGTCTGCATATGGAAATTATCATGCATATTATAGTTTTCTGACACGATGCGTTGCTATAAATCTTCCTGCCAATATGACCAAGTTGCGAAAATGAAGTGATATTTTACCTATACGAACTAAATGCATAACATTTTTTTGTTTTTAGTATTGTTGTATTTATTCATTGCGCCCTTAACGGTTATTGATAAGGACAGCATATGATAAGAATAAATACAAAAATATTATAACAGTTTTATTTTATGTATATATTGCTGAGAACATTAAATCTAAAGTAGCTGAAATGAAAAATAGGATAGAGTCAATGTCAGAAAACTTTACCAAGGAGAGCATTCTACTTAAAAATTGAACATTAGTGTAAGATTATAATAATTTGAAATAAAGTAACCAAAGAAAGAGTATAAGTCATCTTATACTTCTAAACTTCTAACTTTTGAACTTATAATCTCTAACTAAATCTAACATTGAATTACATTATTTTATGTGAT